CCCACCCCCACCCCCCCCCGCCCCCCCCGGCCCGGCCCCCGCCGCCCGCCCCCCCTGAAGAGTATTTCTCTCTTCTATTCAGAGTTTCTGTATAAATGCTATCAAATAAAAACTAAAAATGAGTAAAGCTTAACATTTTCAGAACTTGTTGGAAACTCAACGGAGCATTTTTTCGTTTTTGCTTTAAGTCTTGTTTCAAGTTTACGAGTTTTTAAAAAAAACTCGGGTTTTCATTGAGTCACATTACAGTTCCCATAAAATTTCATTCAATCGGCTTAAGTTTTTATCATAGATACTTAAGACTATAACTCAAAGGTATTTTTTTTGTCTTTGAAAAATATTGCCATTAAAAAATTCGTGTCTTTCTAGTGAAAGGTCGTGAAGAACTAGGAGTGGTCTTATTTTGTGGAGGACACGTCACTCTATCATGCACCATGTTTAACTGAAAAATCTATAATGAGAGAGGGTGCATCTTTAACCCTTATATGTAATAGTATAAAAATTTGTTCTCTTTTCGTCAGTTATGGTGAAATGATCGAACAAAACTTGAGAAATATGGGGGGTGATAATGAATTGCCATTCAACACTACTAGTAAGAAAATTGTTTCTGTCTGTATCGTTTTAACGAACAGAGTAGCATTTCTATTCGCAATGTTCTCACAAGTATCGTCCAAGTGTGGATCCATTAGGACTGATACATGTTCTGCTGATACATGACAAAGATAGTTTTGCGTATTTGTCTGATATACCTTCCACAATTCTGCTGAGTGTAGCATATCTGAAACACCTTAATTCTGCACTGATATTTTTAATTCACTCTTAATTTTCTAATATTGTACGTTATCACTAAGTGTTTTCCCTGCATACACTGTAAAAAAACAACTGTTCCAGGATATGTTTTTGGGCGATGAATGGGACACTTTTAAAAGTGTCCTACAACGGAGCACTGGTTTTCAGTTTTCGCATTCACAGCGGCTCCAAAACGTGTCCCGTAGTGGGACACTTTTAGAAGTGTCCCATTTATCGTCCAAAAACGTACCCCGGGACACTTGTTTTTTTATAGTGTATAGAACTGGTGAATGTCTAATAGAATCTATAGCACAAACTTGTGCTTCTTCTTTTAATCAACTCATTAAACTGCTGTTCGAATGCAGCGTTTCATTAGTAATACATTGTGATTGAACTCACTAGTACGTAATATAAGTAAACTGAACAGACAAACATACAATTATTAGTATTTTTCTCGTATCTGACAAAACTCGTTCGCGTTCACGCAGTAAGCCATTAAGTTTGTTTTTCTATATCTGAATAAAAGATCGAGATTGCTATTAGACTATCTAATGTGAAGATATGCGGCGAGTATGGAATAAACATATCGTGTGCACACCATGTGTATTATCTACATCTTGTCTTTTTTTTCTTTATTACGTATAGAGTAATTATTTCACAGCGGTAAGAAAAAAACAATCATTCTGAATAATTTGTTTACTGATTAAACGATGCATATGGTAAAACGAGATTTGCTAGTATCGATGAAGGGAAATGAATAAAATGTACATTTTAAAAATTTAAAAATTTAATATATATATCGAGCTGATACAAACGTACGTTGATAGATGGGTGTAGAAAGAAGTAAAAACATATCAACCGATGGTTATTATACATCTATCTTTTATTAAGAAATTTAACATTGACAAATAGGATCTGACATTTTCTTTTGTTTTGATTTTCTACTAATTAATTCAATGTTTTATCTAGGAAATTAGTTAGATTTTATTAAAATAAAATCTAACTAGTTTATGGTCGAAAAAAATCTATAAAGATGAACAGAAAAACTCAAAATTGATAGTTATTTAAGTTGCTATTTTACTCTTTATTAATTATTATGTCAAAAGATATTCAGGAATAGTTGAGACGAATATAATCAAAATAATTAGAAGATTACTGTTTCTGATATATTGGAATTGTAGCTGCAAAATCGGCTCATTTTTAAATATTAAAAGTGAATCTAACATATTTAACATGAAAATTCTTCTTTAGATTTTACTAGCCAACCAAAAGTACTATGATGATCAGAATAGAGTAAAAAACTGACGAAATCATTTCAGTATTATCTGTCTTAGAATCTGATAGAGATATCATCCATTAAGACAGTCTCTCGCCGGCAGTAGCTGATTGAGTCTTTTAAACAGAATACCAACCCTTTTACTCTCTAAACATTTTTATCGCCTAAAAATAAATGCCATTTTTCACAAATGTCAATAGTGTATCACAGTAAAAATTTCCATTAGATTAGGAAAACCTTGGATATCAATGGTGGTAAACGTATACTTATTTTTCTTTTAGACTAAAGAATTATATTTTTAAATACATATACCTTGAGAAAAATTTATTTCAGAAAAGAAAAGAGTATGAGTTCAAGATACTGAGATAAATTTTATAGACACTATTATAACAGTTATGCACATTTATTCTTTTCTCGATCCAATCACAAATCATTCAATGTTAATTGATAAAAATAATCGGGTATGGCACATTTGAGAATAGAATAATAGATTTTTTTCTCTTCTAAATGATTGCGTTCATTTTATAACTAGTAAATTTGATGATTATACAATGATAAAACGTTATTAATCAATATTATTAAAAAAACAGTAATAAATCACACATTTTTTTCTCTTAAGTTGATATAAGCTTTATTCTTTGCAGAATACAAGCGTAAAAATATTCCGTTATAATATTTTAAACTAAAACTATTGAAAAATACAAATTAATTTTGTACAAACAGAGATTCGAACACACGAGTTTTGCTTTGCAGTAAACAAGTTTTCTGAAGTTCATTGTCGTATGACTGCTTAGATCTGTTATCAAGGACGTCAAATCAATTAGAAGTAAAAGATTTTTCTTCAAATTTCAAACATCAGAGATATTCACTGCTGATACAATGTAACAATAGGCAGATCCTTGTATGTTGTGAAAGAGTTATTTTGTCATCGACCTCTTTGAAATTAGATGATGCATGAATGAATGAGAGAAGTTGTTAGTCAGCAAGAAACACAAAAAAGATTGACATTTTGATAACTATGATCGTTTCAATAGAATAGTTGTGTAACAGTTATTAAATTATACTAGAATTTTGACGTATTTACAATTAAATAGAAATATATGAGTAAAAATTAAAGCAGAATAATAAACATCGAAATAATTGTTAAAGATAATTTCTGAACTTGACAGAAAGCATAAAAATGTAAAGTATTTTTTTTTTACTATAAACATCATACGTGCTCCGTATTGATTTTCCAGTTGTGTAAAGAAACAGTACTAAGTCTTAGTACTTGAAAAAATCGACAACTCTATAGTAAAGCAGACGAATAACAATTAATAGATCTTTAATCTCACTTCACCGTCACTCGTATAACCATATAAGAACAAATATCTTCGTTTTCTTAATGCCATATGTTTATCAAGAAAGCGAAACTGATTGTATTCTTAGAGTATGTGACATCGCATTCATATTATTCTCATCTTTCTATAGTTTGTTCATTTGTGTATGCACGTGTGAAATGAGAAAATAGTGAAGAGTAGAGTAGAGATTTGTTTTTATTATTATTATTCTTATTATATATTGATTTATATAAGAAGACTTTCTTGACCATAGTTATCATTCACCCATCAATATATAATAAATGTATGCATGTTGAGAGATGGATCATCAGAGAGAGAGAGAGATGTATAAAAATGTATGTATGTAATGATCAAAAAACTTGCATAAAATAACACAATGTTTATTCGTGCTGTTTTTTTTCTCGATAGTAACAGCCATGTCTCTCTCATTTTCTCTCTTTCTCTATTATCAATATAAAAAAAAAAAATGAATAAAAAAATTTGTACATATTCTATTTGATCGTTTTTTTTTCAAATGATGCGACAATATATTACGATGATCTTTTATAAATACATACATATTAATTTTTTTTTTCGTAAAATACACATCCATCTAAACATCGTATAGGTATATTGATTTATCTAAAAAATAATCAATTTGTTTTTTTAAGAAATTTTTTGTCCTTTATGTGTAAGGGGGTTTCCGTGTTCTATTGATATCTGTAAATGGAAAAAAGTGAGATAAAAAAATCATCACATCAAATGTCAGAAGAATTTTTCTTAGAACAGAACAATAATCATATTAATATTGGACGACAACAACATCAATATCGTACACCTTTGATACGACATAAACGAGGAGGTTTGTTTTCAACAGCTGGTGCCTATTGTTTAAATCGTACTAAAAGTTTTCATGTTCAATCGCAAGCATTAACAGCTACAACAGAAGGGATGATACATCAATCACCACCTCCGCCACAAAATTTAGATCGTAAAACCTATTTTAAATATCAAAAACATAATCGTAATCAATCTTTGATAAATAATATTAATTTAGCCCGTTCATTACCATCTAATATGCATCATTTAATACCGTCACATCATCAACAACAATTACCATTATTACAACCATCGGTAATAATGAATCCATCGTTTGAGTCATTTAATTCTACTCAAAGTCATCATAATCAGAGTGAACTTATACCAACATCATCTGATTTATATTTAAATAAAAAAACTTCGTCCATTAGTAATAACAATAATAGTAAAGGGATGTTAAATACATTACGTCGATCATTAAGGAAAAATAAAGAGCGTTTTTATAATAAACGATCATCTACAGTGAAATCGTATAATTCCATAGGTGATGCGTGTGGTGAACAACAATCGCCAGATATTAATTGTCGACAACATTATGCAAATAAAACTCCATCATTATATCAACCATCATTTATTGTGGAAGTATCGAACGAATATGAAGATAACAGATGTAAGAGTTTTTTTTTCATAAAATATTTCCATTTCTTGATCAACGTCACAATTCCAGCTCAAATTCAATGTTAGTACGATAATGACCCATATTTTACGCAATTATCTCTCAGCAATTGATTGATGAACACCATAGAGTTGTGTGATCATGTCTGGAGCACATTAGAAATTAACACTAGAACGCCCGGAAATTTTCATGACCTAGAACGCCCAAAGCGGTCATTTTGACCGTTACTGTTCTTTTTAAAATTTTATACTTAAAAATGGTTCTGAATTAAAAATTCTGCAAAAAATAATTTTTGCGGGACAAATTAAAAGTTATGACATAATTTATTTTTAAATAAATTGTATGCAGTTTGTTTTATTAAGGATAAAAATCACAAAACGGTCAAAATGACCGCTACGGGCGTTCTAGTGTTAACAAAAGTTTTTTTTTTTGTTTTTTACAAGAGAAGAGATTTTCTCTTTCTATTTGTTTGAGATCGATTTTCCGTACTATTACAAAAAAACTAGAGATAAACTCTTATTTTATTAGAAGTATATAGAAGAAATATATAATTGTCAGAGAAAATCGCGATTAATAACACTATTAGAGCTCTTTCTCTTATTTCAATGTTAGTCTACATTATCGTTGAAAGTTAAAGAGTAATTCTTAGAAATGTATGTTTTAAAATAACTCTAATATAGTGATATATCATTTACTTAGTTTGTTCGTTATTTTCTCTAAGAAAGTAAATTATTTATTTACATTTAGGAAATGGGAAATAATGTGTCAAACATATACTATTTACTTGGAAAATAGTAAATAAATTATTTATTTTTTTTCAAGCTTTTTTTCTTAAACTCCTTTAGTTTTTTGACTTCATCTTCTTGTTAATAACGTTTTTGGTTCATCACTAGGGACTCTTCTAATATAAAATTAGAAGATATATATATATATGGCTTTTTCACTGACCTTTCTTCCATGAAGTAAATAAATCATTTACCATTTACTCAAGTAAAGTAAATGGTTCATTTACTATTTCCCAAGTGAATAGTGAATGTTGGACGTATCATCTCTACTATTTATTTCCTAAGATAAGTATAGATAAATAATTTACTTTTCGTAAAAAAAAAATGTAAAAGTAAAGCGATATCCCTATGCTAACATTCATTTATTTTTTTTCTTCATCAATAAACTTTTATGTTCAACTGTTATTTAAATTACTAGTTGAACTATATAACGTTCTATTTAACGTAAAAGTGAAGATATATTAAATTTTAAACAATAAAACTTTTTCTTTCGCACGATATACTCATCTTTCTTTTCCAGACACTGTATCACGTCGATGATTTAACAAATGGATTATTCTATTCGTAATTTAACGGCAATAATAAAGATAAAGAATACAGAACAGGTAGTTGTGTGTGAGTGTGAAAAAACAAAAATGAGTTTATCTAGACGACATTCAAAAGAAAAAAAAACTTGTTAAGTTTAACGATGAAATAAGTGTTATTTGATATTGATGAATTAAAAGAAAAAGAAAGAAAAAGAGTCTGTTACTTTTTTTATACATATGTTTATAGTGTACAGATACACTTTTTATTGTTAATCTACCTGTGAAAGATAGTATACTCGATATAGATAGAGATATAGTTATACATATATACACATTACTATTAGAGTTATCTAATAACATAAGTCTCCTTGTTTTTTTCTTCTTTGATTGACAAACACGAGTTCTTTACTCTTCTAATGAAAATATAGAATCGTTGTTATTCTTCTTCTTGTACAATTCCGTATAACCTTGATAGTTTTTCTTTGTTTCGGCTTTGTTTTACGTAGCCTATGTATATAGTTATATGAAAGAAGAGGAGAAAAAAACGTTTATACTTTTTTTTACATATTTGTCGATGAGTTAGAAGCGTGAGAATCAATGTATACGGCATTATCATGTATTTACATGCGAAACGATCAGTGTATGTGTTCCAGTTTATTTTTAGCTATTTTATTAAAAAATAACAAAAATAAATAAATAATACAGTCTAATACAGATCTTCTGTATGAGATTTAATTTTAACCTATTTCTTTTTCACTCTTTCCGAATTTTGTTTAATTGTATGAAGACTTTTCTAGCAGAATAAAGTTTGATAAACATACTCAAAATTAACGTGATAAAAAACTTCGTTGCTGTAAGAAAAAGAACCACAGATAACAATTCTTAATAATAATAATAATAATAATAATATAGTTCTATCAAAAAATTCATTGATCTACTAGTTATTTTAATGTGAAAAGAAAATTGAATGAATAGTATTTTAGTTCATTATAATTTGATAACTTATAAATTATTAAAAAACTGCTATGTCTGCTCAATAATATAGAAAAATGGCAACTTTAACAAGAAGACAATGATTTTATTTTTTTTTCTCCTTCTAGTGCCACTACAAGCCCCATTGGCAAATGGTCGACTTGGTGACCGAACTCGAATAGTTCAACCCAATCAATATCTGCCACCTACAACATCGGTGAATGGACTATCGCCTCTCATTCCTATTCATCACAATGGTCCCATACTAAAATCATCTTCACCATCACCGACAACAATAGCCTCAATAGTTACATTTACTCCTACACTATCTATATCATCGAATACAAATGGCAACGTTATTATTCCGAATATTAAATATAATAATTTATTAGCAAATACGAATAATAATAACAATAACAATAATACGGCAATTATAGAAACAGACAATAATGTGGAAAAAGAAAAATTAAAAAATGATCTACAATTATTACGTAATGAACTACAAAAATCAAAAGAAACAATAGCACGTCTTCAAAAAAGTGAAGAACAAATGAGAGAAAGGTGAGTCTAAAAGTTAAATTCACCATCAATTTCCTCCAAAACGTTTGAGTATCTATGAGATTTGAACATGAGATTTTATTTAATTAATACATTTGAATAGAATGATGTAAATGGTGCAAATGAAGAACGCCATGTTTGTATACATGCTTTTACTAGTAGAATAATAAATAATAATAAAACAAGATAGTTAAAGATGATAACAGTGTAAATGAAATGATAAAATATACGATGACAGTATGTTTCAATTAGAGTTTTATTAATATGTTGAATCTGATAATTAATGATAAAAAATTTGTCTGTTTCAATAACAAGACATATTAACCAATAAATAAGTGAACAACCAAGTGATACAATATATATATTGTAAAATACTAAATAAATAGCTTTGTTATTTTTTATTTCACAAAGTAAAACATAAAATAATGTGCCAAACAAACCAATAAAACCACTAATTTCAATAAATTGATTCATATTTGATACCGATAAACATTGGTTATTGTAATAAAAAGCCATAAATAACTGTATGACAGAAAATAAACAAATAATAAACAAAACTATACTAACTATTTTTGTTTTTGATGTTTGATTATTTTCGGGAAATAATGTCGCATAAGATGGAGGATTACTGTTTTCGACAGACATTTCTAAATCTAAAATAGTTAAGATATTTCAGCTGTCATTATATTACTACCCTCACATATGAAAGAAATTGTTCGATTTTATGAGTACGTAGAAGGAAAATGAATATTTTGAGAATTTTTTCTTCTTTTTCTTTTTATATAGATGATCTATTCTCGAATATACATTTCTTCTGACTATAATTTGTTGCCATTTTAAAATGTCATTTTTGAATGTCATTTTCATCAATAAAACTATTAGTGACAGCTTTTTATACTTAACAGTACAGGATAAGACTAGAGGAGAAAGAATTCATACACTCATCAAAACAAATATATTTTCTCCTTTTTTTTTCTAGATTAGCTGAACAAGCACAACGTCAGATTGAAAAAGGTGGTAAATTTGAAGATTTAAATCAGTTAACACGTCCAACAGAATTAATTCGTTCATATAATGCACTCTATTCACAAGCAAGAATTGATGCTTTGGATGCACTCGATAATGTGTCCGAAATGTCCGATGCTGAAGATTTGAAATCAAAATTATTATTTTCAGTTGTTGTTGTAAGTTATTATATAACAAAAATGAACTGATTATGATTAATTATTTACTTTTATTGTTTTTAGTTAGCTTTTCGACATGCTCAAATACAAGCAAAAGAAATTCGTTCAAAAATAAAACAAATATTACAATTAACAAGTGATAAAAGTTCAACATTACTCGAAGAAACAATTGAAAAATATCTACGGAGTACGATACAAAAATATGATGTTGCAAAAATTACCTATGTGAGTGTATTGACTGAATTGTTGAGTATTCAACTAATTCTTTACTGCTTTTATTATAGGAAGTAGAAAATCAATTATGGACAACATTATACGATTATCCAGCGTTAAAATGTTGCAATGAATTAATCAAATACATTACGCAATCATGTAGAACAGCGTACGTACTGTAAAATATTTATATTTTCACATTTTAATAACCTTTTCTATCTTATAGGTGGGGTTTGGTAAATCATCAATTTTTAATTGAATTTCAAAATATTAAATATGATAAATTACTTCATGAACGATTTCATACGTCGGATAATGAAAGTGAAACAATTAGTGAATATATATGGCCATGTTTAATCGATAGTAGAGATCGTACATGTGTGGCTAAAGGAGTCGTTATTACAGATGACCGTTATTTATCGAATATATCGTCGTAGCATTAAGTTTAATAGAAATGAATAATTATTTGTATAGTTGGCTAACTGAAAGCGTACTATTTAATACTGTATTACATCGAAAAACATGAAATTTCATCTTTTTCTATCCGGTTTTTCTAGTCATTTCTAGTTTATTCGTATATCTATATATATATATATATATATCTGGGAAACGTATTAGCATCATTATAAAAATGCGTCCACATTCCGATCAATGACGGCGCAAAATAACTACATATACGTATTCCTTAGAATCTTTGAGACATCAGTCGACTACCTATTTATCTGTTTGTGTCCTTTTTCATATTTGTTTTGATGAAATGTAAAACTTTTTTTGGTAAATTTTATTCTTCGAAGATATTATAACAGTAAGAGATGTATTTATACTATTGAATATGAAACAAAAATAAATTAAAATAGAATGTACAAGAAGAATATATCAGTAAGCAGTTGAGACAAGAACAGAAATAAGTTCAACGAACAATACCAACAAAAAAGGGGAAATTAAACGATATGTGTTTATATATGTACAAGGCTCTATCCATACGAAAGGTGCTAAAAAACAGAGAAACGTACACACAAATTAGTCATTCGTTGATATCTTTTAGAGTGTGTTTAGACATAAATAACAGACAGCAAAGGATTATGTTCGAATCAAAGCAGTGGAATACGAAAAACAAAATTCGAAAATGCGAGTCAGAGATGGACGAGTACGAGTATATACTCGAGTACAAAGTTCCTAGTACTCGTACTCGGGGCTTTTTTTAACGAATATTCCATAAAATACTCGAGTACTTTCCAAAAAACTGATGACCTTTTCTTTACTATTTGCGTATAAAAAAATCGATTTATTCTGAAATTTTTTCGGATTCAACGGCTTCTTTAGAAAAAAAATACTCGAGTACTTTTCAGAAAACACTCATACTCGATCTTCAGTACTTGCACTCGTACTCAGAAATCCGTGTACCGGCCCATCTCTGATGCAAGTGTAGAAGTTAATAGGATAACATACGTCGAAAATATCAACAGTAAGAAACACAAAAATAATTATTTTATACAAAAAGGGAAGAAAAAAATGAAATTGTATCGAATTCGATACGGTCCAAATTCTTCTTCTTGTCTTGAACGACAAGACACAAAATGATAATAAATCACAGTAGTGATCTTAAATTACTTGATGTGTTATGAGTTAACGTTGTTATTGGAGATAATGGTAAGGTTATGCTAGTTGAACTTGACGTTGATAGTGATAGAGATGGATTTAGCTCAAATTCGACAAGTAACAAAAAATGATCGAATGGCACGCTTGAATGCACATCAAAAATATCCCTTTCCACTATACTGTCGCTTCAAAACAATATTTAACAACATTGCGTCGCATTAGTACTATAGTAGTAGAACCTGTTCTAGTACAGGGTTGCCACCTTTAGAAATCCGAAAAAGCAGAAGAAAACGGAACGGATTTTTTGCGCTTTCCAATGTCTTTGTAAGGGAAAAAACTATTAGGCACAATAAAGATGCATTTTCAAATCACCGGATTCAGACAGAGTAATGATTTACTTTATATATGCACTAATAGAGAATAAAGTTTATCAAAAGTGATTACATTCAATCAAGAAAGGTGATGAAATGTAAAACTTATTTTTCGAAGATATTATAACAGTAAGAGATGTATTTATACTATTGAGTATGAAACAAGAAGTTAAAAGAGTTTTCGCAGGAGCGCTAACTACGCTCCTTATACTTAAAACTTGTGAACGTCTTAGCTTGATGAAAAAATGTTTGATCTATCAGAAATGGAACACTGATTACCGTCAGTTGATAATATTTCTTTCACAAATTTATCAGCCGTTGTAAAGAACCATCTCCTCCTGTCCATATGCAATGTGTATGATTACTTATTATTCCTATAATCAAGAAATGAAAAGGTGATTTTTTTTCACTTAAACAATAAGATGAAAAGGAAATGTGAGTACTACCATGTCAAGAAAGTTGACAACGAATGTACATGGTGCCTCCCCACATTGAAAAACTGTTGAATCTACCCGTTTTTAAAAACCTAAACATACATATACAACAATATGATAGCTTGATTGCAAATTATACAAATCGAGTTCACCTCCAAAATATGAGATAATTCTACAGAAAACTAAGCGCTTAAGAGAGACCCAAGCAAAAATGACCCAATTTTTTGGGTCATTTATCTAGATTCAGCTGTACATGGAAATGAATCTAGATAAATGACCCAATAAATCGGGTCATTTTTGCTTGAGTATACATTATATCGAAAGGAGAAACTAGTAGACTGTAATTAAAAAGTTTAGATTCGCTTCTTGTTTGTCTGGGTTTAAAAGAAATAGTATATCTGAAAACGTCCATACGGGCATAACATCTGAATAACAGACCAGGTGTACGACAAGTAAAAAAGATGAGAAATCAGAAAAACATGATTAATAAATAACAAAGAAAGAAAATGATGGTGAGCAAACTACAACGCAGTAAGCAGAGAGATAAAAGAGAAAGTTTTTGTGTCCAGATATGGGATATAGAAAAATGCTGCTGAATCATCTATTTTTTCAATATCATGTACATTGAACCAATATGTTTTTACGTATGAAACGCTGCTACACAGAGCGTGGAAATTTGATATCAAATAAACTTGTTGAAGCTAAAATCAAAATTTGCCTAAATAGTAAACTGGCATGCACACATTTTAGTTCATACATTTCATCAAATCGTGCGATAGAGAATTGAATAAGGAATAAGAGTTGGCGATTAACCTTGACCAAGATATTGAGAAAATACGGGGAGGGACATTATTTCTCGCGCACCCGTCAGCTAATTATACTGAATAGTTTTTTTGTAATATAACCAATGAATAGAGGAAAGCGAAAAACATTTTTCATATCTTTGTCGCATTGTAACATAAGCGTTCCTCATTTTTATTCTACATTTGAGAGTATTTCTAAAAGTAAAACAAAAATAGTGCTTTACTCAAGCGAGAGTCGAACTTCTTAGAACAAATTTAGCTGATCAGATTTTCTTTTAGAATCCGTCCTCCGACTATGGTAAGTAAAAGTAAAAAAAGAATATATAAACAAGAAAGTTATAGGTATTTCTTTTATTCACTCAATTCATCTGACAATAGACTATTATTATCAACACGATGAAATTTAACAACTGAATTTTGCTTCTTTTTTCTTTTTTTTGTCTTTTTTTTCAAATGCTCAGTCCTTTCTTCTTCTTTTTCTTCTTGATCTTGGGATTCATCGGACTTTGAGACAGTTGTATCCATAATACCGTTATGTTGCTCTTCACTATTTTGTGTAGCTGCAATAGTTGTTAAATACTGAACTGTGAATATATTGCTATCAACTCTAAACAAATAATAAATTAATGCTGATATTAGGTAAACAAACATGTACACTTGACATACAATTTTCCGAGAGTGTCATATTTCAATGTTAAATTTTTTTCTAAATTACATAATGTTGTTAAAATTTTGGATGAATTTGGTTTCAAATCATTTGTATTATTCATTAACAAATGATGTGTCCATAACATATAAAATCCAAAATGACGAGAATTTTGCAGTTGTTCACTGATAAAATTCAGCAATAATTCAACATAAAATAGTGGTAATGAACGAGAAATATATTCGACTAGAAAGGAAATAAAATGAAAATGTAGGAAAGAGGATATGACTATTTTGATGATCAAAAAGCGAGCGTAAATCAATTATTCCAAAGAAAAGAAAACATCTGAGATTGCCTCTCTTAATGAGATAAGTATTATCATATTACTAAAAGAAAATTTCTACACCATTTAATCAAAGTCATTTTCTGTTCATACTGAACACCGAACAAACCGAAAGAGAATAGTTCATAGCTCACAACATTAAGGATTTAATCATGTTGAAGAATAAAAGTAATACTATGTTGGAAATAAGTACAAAAATAAATTCAATCATACTATTTTGTGCAGCTATATTTTCCATAATTTCAATAATTAATGACTTTTCACTTAATTTTAATGCCATCATCAGTGACAAATACGCATCTTTCTTATCATACAATGTTCGTCGAATTGATAATGGTGTTATCTCTTCACTCAAATCCAACGGATCAAATATTGATGAATTATCAATCGAATATATTAATAAACCTAAAATAGAAGAAGCAATGTAGTTTACCATTTACGGTTTAGTAAAATTAGTTATTTACCTTCGGTCGTACATGCTGCCCACGAACGACCTTAATAAATAAACATAAATAAATGCGTTATGATCAAAATATTTTCCGTGAGATGGAACAGAAACATGTACTTCACTTACCTGTAGGTGAAAATCGCACACATGTCACTAAAAGTTCTGGTTTATAATAACGACTACTAAAATCACCCTTCTTTACACCTAAAATTAACAGAGAGTAACCAGAATAGTTCTCAAGCTATACTATAGAATAAGACCGCCAACATGTATGGCATAGGTGTTTAGATAACTGCTGTATATCTGGTAGTGAAGTCTCTATTTCTTACATTGTAGAAATACGTATATGTGTGTAGGAACTATAAAAAATACCTGGTAAACGTATTGATTTTTCATTTTGATCGTTGTCTCTATCCATGTCGACCATTGCCAAACTTCCCCATTCTGTCATTTTTCGTCTATTTAGATATTCCTAAACCAGACTCAAGTATTGATAACTATAAGACATCATTTATCAACTTACATTGAGACCATCAAAACTTTTATTACATGTAATTTCGAATCGTTTAACAAGAATTTGCTCACGGATATTATACAACGATATATATTTTGAACGTCCACCAGCTAACAAATAATTGCCGTCTAATGTATAACAAATACTTCGATAAGCTCTATATTAAAAAGGATTGAAAAATGAAGTAAAACTGAAAATAGATAACTGTTTTTGAAAAGTTACCTTCCGAATGTTAACTTTTTTGCTGTTACTTTATCTGTTTCTCGACGTGCATAACCTAAATCATGTTTTGCTTCTATTGAGCCCATTTGTTGCCCACTATCAGGATGAAAAAACAATATTTGAGCATCAACTGTGGATACGGCTACTTGCTGACCATCGGGACGAACGCTAATGCCTAAGCCTATGCAACAGAAACAGACAAAAAAATTTAAATATATTCAAAATAGATCATAAAAGCGTTCAAATTACCATCCGTATGTAACTGAAACGTTTCTCTTGAACCCTGATTTTCAAATAAATTCCATGTACGCATCGTTTTATCCCAGGAACAAGAAGCTAACATAGCTTGATTATTATTTCGACCAAAAGCAATTCCACTGATGGGACCTTCGTGACCACTCAAAATCTATAAAAAAATAAACAAATTGGTCCGAGATATCGAATAATGAAACATACTTACGTCGAGTAATTTTCCTGTTTTAATTGACCATACAAAAATATTAAATGAATCAAAACCGCCAGCACACACAATTTCACCAGCTGCGTCTAATCTAAAATATACAAACAAAAATAGAATATAAATTGACAAGGATGAGTAGTCAAGAAATTGGATGTAAATAATCATAATAGTGGCAACATAATAGCTCTTTTCAGTCAAAGAATGATCATATAATAAACCAACAACCTACGCTACACAAGAAAATTGTACAGGAGTCGGTGATGTATAAGTACGGAAATTCCGATATCTATAAATAGAAAAAAACACAGATGCATGTGAGTTTCTTGGCTTTGAAAATGATTAAGACGTGCCTTAGCAGATCGTATGCTCTCACTGTGCCATCTAACGAACTAGAAATAATAAACTGTCCATTTGATGAAAACTCTAAACCGGTTATTGTTGATGTATGATCAGAAAATGTCACAAAACAAAATCCATTTGATGTATTCCATAGTTTAATCTGAAAAAGAAAAGTTTATCGGCCTACAATCATTTTGGAACACAGGTTAAAGCACAAACGTACTTTACCATCGTCTCCACCACTAGCGATATGTAAACCGTCTGGTGAATAGGCCAGCTGGATCATATTGTTAAAATGACCTTGTTGTTTCAATATATAAGTTTCACTTTGCCATTCCCAAACGACTAATTGACCAAGGTTTTGACATGCAAGAGCAATCCAATCTCCTAACGGACTAAATAATGTTGATGTGATTTGTTGCTGGCCAATACTGGAACGAAGTATAAAAGTTTTAAAAATCACATGGATTCTCCGGTTTTGATGACAGAGATGTCCTTTAGAAATTATACAAAATATCTAACTGACCTGAGCGAATGTATCATATTAAAATCAGGCATTTCATGTAGGTAAAAACTTCCATTTGAAAAACCCGCAACGAGCATATGTGTTTTTTGATGATAATTGCACGATAATAACACGGCTGATCGGTCACCTTCAAATGATTCCTTGTAATTATGCCTGAAATACACGAAAACATCATATCATCAAGATGAGACTTATTCAGAAACGTCATACTTTGCTAAACGTTTAAATTTGACCAGATCATGTTTGCCCATATTTTTCAGTGCTCTTTCTTCGTATCGTTTTTGTTGTATTTCTAATTTTGAACGTTGACGTTCGACAATTTCATCTAGATCTTCATTATCTTCGGCTGTTTGTTCCTCATTATTCATCGTTGTCTTAGTTTGCTCATTTTCATCTACATCATTCTCCTCTAAATCTGAATAGTCATCTTCAGTCCAAACAAACGGTTTCATCGCTGATAATTCCATATCAGCTTCCCAATAGTTTACTTTTGCATTTTTACATATTGTCATAATCTAAATGATAATATATCCAAATAACAGATAAAAACTTTAACATAAAGCTTCTTCAAACATACATTTAATGAATTCAATTCGAAAAAGACTCCAATAATCTCACGACCATGACCAGCTAATGTAAAACGATGTAGTTTGTCCAACAATGGTACACTAAATACTTGAGTTGTCATATCAGCACTACCAACTGCAAGAACTCTAAACAAGCAAAAAGCCTACACGTTATGTTACACGGAGAAACTGACAATCTCCCTTCCGCATGGATTCGTTTCTACTGTTTTCGATTATTTTTGTCCTATAGATAGTACTATACAATATTTGTCTCAATCTCTTCATAAATCTTACCTTGAATCATTTGTCCAATCGATGCATGTTGTTTTATCATGAAATGAACGTAAGACAAACTTCAGTGTAAACAGATTAAATTGTCTTTCAGCACTTGGACATGTATAAACTTCACAACGGTTACCACGACATACGGCCACTGATCTACATCATGATAAAGAGATCAATAGCACGTAATCAAACAAATGCTTCGTCACTAATTCATCAACCTTACTTTGAATCTGGACTAAATTTAACCGCATGTACATCATGTCCAAATCGATGTATTCCAATTAGAACTCTGCATTTCATATTGTAAAGATAACCACGTCCATCTAAAAGAAACGTATCACGTACAAAGTGTGTTAATCAGAGATGAATGCTTACTTTCGTTGATTGCTAATAACAATGATCCCTGAGACGAAATTGTCGTACAAACAATGTTAAATTCGCTTTCGAATGATAATGTTTCTGATCGACTACTGCAACCAGAAAAACAGCACTGTACTAATTGATACAAATAATGGAAAAAAACACATACTTTTTTAAATCAACTACTGTTATACGATTGCCAACAGGTGTCAATAATGCATTTCCATCGGGTGTAAATAATAGATTTCCTTTATGGTACACAGTACCGAGCAGGTTTGCAAACTAAAAAGTAACGGCAAAGAACGGCTTACCACTAATGATACTTTTAAAATATTCTCTACGTACTTTGTACTGTAACTTCATTTATTCGTTACTAGACCAAAACGCATATCAATCTAGAAATTTTCAGGCATATTTTTCTTAAACTTGAAAATATATAAAGATTTAAGCGTAAACAAAGCGAAAAATCTAAAACCAAATCTCATAATCTTGATCTTGTTCATCCACTCCCTCGCACTAAAATCGGCTCTGAGAACCAGTTCTTGTCTCAAACTTTAATTTTTAATAGATTTACGATATGCTAAGAGCAAACGCTAATGAAAAATCGTGTTAAATAAAAATCTCATATTTTCATTACTTTAAAAACGATAAATTATCCATATTTTACCAGCGCAGTATATTGGCTATTTAAAAACTTCTCAGAAGTGTAGTTTAAATCTTCCCACTGTTATCCGAGTAAACAAAATATGGTGTCGTCTTTTCAAATGAGCGATGAATAGTGAATAAAATATGTTTTTGCAATATGTGATCTATAAATAAATCGTAATTCCATTCTGTTTGATGAAACAAATATTAAAGAAGGTAACTCATTTTTGTCCATCTAAGTAAGAATAAACAGCACAGAAGAAAAAGAAAAAGAGTATCAAAGAACATTGTTAAAACTGATCAGAATAATAAAGGAAAACAAAATATTTTATATTTATTTGGATAATGTCAACTAATCATGTCTAAATCATCACTCCAAGTTGAATCGTATGATCTAGGAAGAACAAAAGTTTCTCCTTGTTGTTAGTCCTGATATTCATAAATACCTTTGCTTTTTCGATTTTTTGAGAAAGAAGTATTCGTTGTCTGCTTCGACGATTTTTGAACCAAACCTGTTTTAAAATCAGACAAGTGAAGCATGAAATACTTTATATTCTTCTATTGATGTTACTTGTATTCTTGATTCTGGAATGCCTAATCGTAGCGATAAATCTTCTCTTGCACAAATGTCTGGATATTGAATAGATCTAAATGTCGCCTCTAATTCGCTGATTTGTGTCTTCGTGTAGTTAGTTCTTTGTCTTCTTCTTCGTCCAAGCGGTGGGACTAAAATGGAAAGTGACAAGCAGAACTATACATACTAGAAAAGAATCTCCTAAAAACTAATATAATGAGTGACTTCTGAAACATATCAGCCTCTTTCAGTTATAAATTTAACGTCTTTTTCTAAAAAATGGTTTGGATTCATCAGAAATATGTCCGGCTCAACCGGCCATTTAACTAATGATAACTTATAAAAAGACGCGTTAACGGTGTATAAACGCCTAAAAACGGTTCATTAACGTCACTGTAAATTGGCCGTTTTGAGAACGTTGATTAATGGTCTACAAACGAGTCATTAACTGGCATGACCAAGCATAGTCTATGTCGTATGCAGACAGTTTTGTCGACAAGTCATTCATCTCTTTTATTTTGCTATCACTTCCAGTGATCGTCCCTGACAGGATTTTTTTGCCCGATCCGGTCCCGCCCGGAGAGAACGCATAAATTTTTTGGAAGATCCCATACAGTTCGGGCCAAACGGGCCGGCCCGTGGATTGTATATGGATCGGATATACTCGGATGCTCAGAGGACAGCCAACTTCGTCGGTGACGTTTTCAAGAGAGGATAGTGCCAAACAATATTTTCAAGACAACGATTGAAAAATAAAACTTTTTAATGCAACATTCATGATACGTTCCATTAACGATGAGAAACAGTCTGTAAAAAAGACGGCATAAACGAATCGTTTTTTTGTCATAAAACGGTCCAAGTTAAACGATGTAAAAACGGTCCGTTTGTGATCCGTTAGTCGATAGTTAACGATCCATCAACGACACCGTTTTCATAGACCTGGGCGATGAAGGTATTTCGATTCACTCTATTTTCTACGCTATGGGAAGTTCGTACTCTAAACGCATTCTACTCTACAACTTTGTACTTCGCACATACAAGATGAGGATACTCCGTATACTTCTAGACTCTAACCATAAAATTCTGCAAAGCGAGAATTGCGCTGGAAACGTTGTTTCGTATTACCTCTGCCAAACGTCTCATTTAAAAATGTTTGATTAAAATTAACATTCTGATAATTATGATTCACTGTGGTTGCTGTTGTTGTTAATGTATATTGGGATGACGCTAATAGTGAATTATTAAATGAAGAACCGTCCGAGATGACTTCAGAAGGATGAACAGTGGATTGCATTGCTGGAGGTGTTGCGGTCATTTTTGGATAATAAGCTGACGAGTTCAATTTTGTTTCTGAGATCATCGTAGGTGAACTTGAAATAATTGAAGTATGAGCCAGAGGCGATAGTTGTTGGTATGAAGTTGATGTACATTGTACTGAACATCGATTATTGGCGTATTGATTACAGGGTGACCATCTCTGAGATGAGACAGCATTATTCATAACTGAAAACGAAATTACATGAAAAAGAGAAGAACTTGATACAGTATCAGTATAGAAGAGATCTTGCCATCTATATAAATAGGTCGGATGATCTTCTACAAATAGCAGTGGCAACATAAAATCTGATGAAAGCGTATTTTCAGCTAAACTTGCATAACTTACCTAAAATCGATCTATATGATTTCAATACTTCTGTTTTGATTGCTATATTAGAATTACACTCTTTAAAGAAGGTAGATTGTCATCTTGTCGTTTATTCATGTTTCACTATTTTTGCGGTTTCTGTAAATCGAAAGCGTTCTATCTCGAGTAGATATGCTGAGATCTTTGCAAATTTGTGTTCAGAATTGTCTATGGAGTCTCACAGTTCGGAATAGAGTCTCTTTTATTAAATACAATTGATCATCTGTCCTAAGCTTGCATTGTCAGAAAGATTGTTTTTTTTTTTATTATTGCCATGTCTATCTTGAACCTACTGTCAAAAACATTTTGTCAACTGTCATTTTTCCCCAGGACGCCCACTGACTTTAGAGGAAAAAAATGATATATGACGCTGAACTCGACGAGAGATCGGCTATAATTATCCTATAACTTATTATCTTTTTCGAACAGGAAGAATATATTTTCATTGAAATCTGCAAGACCCATTTTCATATTATCATAAAATGATCTCAAAACTATAAATCTTTATAAAGCATACCTGTTGCAGTATTTACATTTTTTGAGTAAATATCTGTTGGCGAATCATCATACATATGTAAAATTGGTGAGGGAGTATCTGAATATCGCGGTATATTATTCCAACTATCTGATAACGTGAAATACGTTGGACAAATATTTAGGTGATCGAACTCCGACTCGTTTATTGAGTACTGATTTTCCATTTTTTGAACCAGTATGTATTCGATCTCAGCACAACAAATGTTTTAATAGTTCAAGAATGAATTATTCGTCATATACCGTAACAAACTGACTCTAATAGTTGTTGGTTGTGTTGTAAAATCTTTCTTTGAAAGAAAAACAATACACCAATTCTTCTACGCCAAGTATATGTTCTTGTCCATTTGTATTATGTACTCATTTGTTATAGGATTTGAATAATGGTGATACACTCATTTTCTTTTACTCACGTAATTTGTATCAATTATAATTCGTTTTTTTTTCTACTTTATTTTCAACGCAAGAACATCTATCAACTATATGAACTTACAATCAACCATGCTTATGTAAACGAGAGAAACCCGTTTATCAGACACGATTAATGAGCCAAAATCTACATAGGAGAAAGCATATACATATTTTGTTATTCTCAGCCTTTTGTTTCTTCAAGGTTATGCCTTAGTTGAATAATAATCAAATTTTTGAACTATATATCGACTACCTTAGCAATTTCAATTATGGTAAAGAACGCGAGCAGATACGATAAATTATTTACTTAGTATGTTGTAGAAAACTTTCGCTAAAACGCCTCGTATATATGTGGCTTTTATCATAAAACGAAAGATTTTTACGTATTTGAGAACTTGTATGATTCACTGTTGCAATTGAATTTAGAAATAGATTGTAAAGTTTTCTCACTACTAATTAAGAACAACAAATGTTTGCTTCAGATAAATAACAATGAATTAGCAAAGAAACTGCTCTTTTTTTAGAAAATAATTGATTAACAAAAATAATTTCAAAAAATCTTAAAAAAATAAATAACAAATGGAAAATGAACAACAAATTTTCTGAATATACAAGTGTCTTGAAATGTACAGGAAATTGTTTTTCTTTAATTTTGTGTATCACTTGACGGAACTAAATAAATAATCGTTGAATTTTACATTTATTAAAAGTCAACTGTTATACCTGTATGTGGAGTTTTTATAGCCCGTAATCTCGAACGTCGATTTTTAAACCATACTTGTATTCTTGATTCTGGAATATCTAAACGTTTTGATAAATCTTCTCTATCATGCACATCGGGATATTGTTGAGATTGAAATACTTTTTCTAATGCACGAATTTGATCTTTAGTATAATTTGTTCTCTAAATACATAGAAAAATAGAAAATATTATATAATAAGTACCAGCGTTAAAAAATGACTTACCTGTCTTCGTCTTCTTCCTGTGGGTGGAATTAGATCGGATCTGTTAGAATTATCGGTGATAATGTCGGAATAATCAGATGTTGTTGATGACAATGGATAGGGCGGTGTAAAATAATCTGGAAATTGAATAACATTCGAAGTTGGATAAACGATCGGATTAGGTGTGCTAGACGGTGATATCGATGATGGACTTGTACAAGAATAAAATGATTGATAGGTGTGTGGATATGATGAATATGAGCATAGAGGACTAGATCTTTGAAGACAATTATTCGGCGAAGACGGTGATGAATATGTATCAACTGAACAAAAAAAACATTTTAATTTTAGCAAAATTTCTTTCATACGAAACTATTTATCGATAACCCTGAAGTATCTGAAGTTGAATTTCTATCTTGGCTTACCTGTATTTGAATAATAAATATTACTTGAGTTATCGTACATACAAATAACAGGCGATGTTGGGAACAGACTATCTGAATGAGCAGGCATTTTAGTTGTTGAGGGAGTTGACGTTAAATATGGATTTGTTGGAGGATAAGCATAGTCGAATGATGAATTGGATGTATTCATTGATGTTGGATAGCCGGATGATGATGAAGACGTTGAAGACGACCACATATCGGGTGAAAAGTGATGATCGTGGTTTTATCACTAAAGATAAGACAAATAATTAGAAGACAGAACAGAATACTTACTTTGTCCGACGCTGGAAATCTTGAATGTGCTAAAATAAAATAAACGAAAGTTAGTAAAACATGTATAAATGTATATTGTCCAATTCACTCTATCTCTTTCTCGATTATGCTCAATCCCAGCTATAGTATTAACGTACTTTATGAAATCCTGAATGTCTTTTATAGTCAGTTGTGTCACTTGTAAATCTTTGCTACTGGTATGATAAACGAATAGATAAGAAAATGTGATTTACGTAACAAACGTATTTCTAAAATATAATCTTTTTTTTGTCAACTCATTCTTTTTTTTTCGAATGAAAATTTTTTACTTTTATTCTCTAACCAATGAACAAAATGATGTAGCGTGCAACATGTTGATTTCAAAGAAAAGAACAAATTTTTAGATAAATAGAACATATTTCAGTTGATTTTAATCAAAGGCGGCTATAATTGAGATGAAAGTTATGGCTAAATTTAGACAACAGAATGGTAAAAAAAGCTTTCCCATATGAAAAACAAGCTCTTGCTTATGATCATAAATAGAGTAAAGAAGAAGATATATCTTAAGCTTTATCACAACTTTTGCGTTTAAAGTCCGACAGAGTTAATGATGATCAAGAAAAGTTTAGAACCTCCAACACCAAATTGACTGTAAGATATGCAAGTTTACCGTAGTGATATTAAAAATAAGTGTGCGAAAATGATTCGAACAGTTGTATATTTTGATAAGAATGATCGTCGATGTTGTTATTTGAAGTGTTTGGGATATAATAACAGCTTGCCGGTTAAGGTATGAAAAGTACTATCCCCGAAGCAAGAAGGACGCAGAAAATGTGAATTTTTCTGAGAAAATCGGCTTCAGCTGAATTATACTTAGAGTATAGTGATAAATTGTTTTCTTCACAGACTCAATTTGCACCTAGATACGATATTCTAACAACTTAATTTGGAAACCAATACAATGAATGTACTCATAATCTCAACTAATTCATAACACTTATAATAAAAGGGATTTCTTGTCTTCACGTGATAGTAGAAGAGAATTGTAGTTGTTACTGAACATTCACTCCACAATAGAAAACTTATCAGGTGAGATATAAGGGAAATGCTGCTGTTTGGAATACGTTTCTAATTGAGTTAATAAGTAAATGATTCTCTTGTTTTATCTCTTCGCAACTTATTTGCACAGCGGTATAGTTAAGTCACATCAAAATTTATTTATAATATGTGTAATAATAGGAACTAAAAAATATCAATCATTTATTTTGAGCTGTTACAAATTTAGTGTCACTGATACACTTGATTTTGTTATTTTAGCAGACAAATATAAAATGTTTTATTTGATGAAAAATATAGGTGATGTCGGTAGCCATCGTGTTAATTAAGGCAATGATGACATAAAATAGCTTTTTCAAGTTTATTTCTATTTTTTTTCCTAGAAACAAAATTAAGTGATATTGAAGTATTGATGTTAATATGAAGTGATTTCTGTACGAGTAACTGAGCCATGACTCGCATAGATAAAATGCTGTTACAATAATAGGCATCGACACAATAACATTATATAGCGAAATTTGCATTTTGCTTCCTAGAAAGGCGGATTAATGGCTGTATAAATCTATTTTTGTTTTCGCAGATTTTTGAAAGCATTTATCAAGTTATTCAAATAAGTTGGTCTTAAATATGTGTATAAAAAAAAATAAAATTTTTTGCTATTTGATTATTAATTCTAATTTTGATGAATAAGTGTTTTTCTCATGCATTCATTCTAGTTCCGTAAATGTGAAATCCTGTTATTACACGGGTTTGTGTCTATTTTCTTTTTTTTGTCACGCCTAACTGAGTTTTTGTTTCTAACCAAATAGAACGAAAGCTACCTTGACGTTCTTTTTTATTGATGACTTACGTTTGGATGGAGAAAACAAATAAAAATAAATTCATTCTCTTTCGCGTTTCCGAGACAGATAGATAGATACAGGTCATTAAACGGTATCGACTGTTTATTGAAAATCGGTTTATATGTGTTTTTAAAATCTATTATATTTGTTATCAGTGGTAAAACAGAATATGTTATGACGTTCTGAATATATATCATTGAGTTCATGGTGATAGATTAAGTAAACTTTTACTGCTGGTATACATTTTCCTAAATCATCGATTATTTATTTGAAACCTTAAATATGTCATTAGAGTCGATAGAATGGTCATCTCAACCCTGTTCTCTACAAACGATTGCAACTCAATATTCGCTTCCAATCGCCATTCGAACGGCTACGGGCTATCGTGGGTCAATGAAGCCAGTTATTCTGTATTCTATTGCACGAACGGCTTATGCCTATGGAAGGGCCTTGAGACCAGTTCAGAACACTGTTTCAGAAAGACTTTCGTACAGACCCGTTGACAATGAAATAGTTGCAATACCATTAAAATATCCAGGTAAAATGAAATATGAATGTAAATGGTACTGTGTACCACTTTCACGAGTTACTTTTAATACAGCTGAAATGAAAAGCTAAACGAAAGTGATGATTTGATTAATGTTTCCTGCATGTTGCCTCTGAATAAAGTGGACTGTTAGTGCAATAGTCACTATGATCGTGTACAATAAATTAAGATCGTAGAGTAATGAGTTTTCAGCTTTGTATATATAATGGTGGTCAAAATATGTATTAATGTACCTCAGGTCTACTTACCTGGTGAGGAACAACGTATCGATGCGCATCACACATACGATAATTATTTGGTTTCTTTTTATATGTCCAATATGCATGTTATCTTTATAGGTATAAACAATCCTTGAGACTCATAAGTTAAGATTACATACGGTTAGCGGAAAGTAGTCCCTCTTTTCATATATTTCAGACAAGAATCTGCAAAGCTCCTAATTTTCAAGAAAAACCCTGACTTTCTCTTTACAGAAAAATATTTTTTATCCAAGTAAATGTAAAACCTGTGATTAGCTTATCAAGTTCTATTGAATCAATGGAACCCAATTATACATCATTCAATGCCATTGAATAATGTATAACTTGAAAATTTATAGAAAAGTCGGATAAAGTTTCTGGTAAGAATCGACTAAACAGTAAACTTTTTCAGATTGTTTCTTTTTCGGTCCTGACAAAGTCAGGATGCTATTTAACAATATTGAGACAATAATAAGTGCTTCTGTTAATAAAAATGAACATGTTCGCGTAACAAGCGGAGATTGCTTTCTGCGTGTGTTGGGAGTGGAGCAGGGATGTGGCGAAAGAAAAAAAGTGGGGGGCGGGTGCAGTAGTGAAGATCAACGTCAAATGATCTTTTTTCTGGTAGTCGGTTTTTCAAACGAGCACTCTGAAAAACTAACAATTTTTGATAGTTTTGTTCTAAACCTATGCATATAATCTTCTCAACATAATCTAATACATCAATCTACAGAAAGATCATTTATTCGTATTTTAGTTTATAATGTTATAATATTATCGAATAGTTGTTCTAATTTTCCATATTTTCGCTTCTTCCAAAAAGAAGTGGGAGGGTGCGCACCCCCTCGCACCCCGTGGTCGCCACATCCCTGGTGTTGAGGCAGAGTGATATGCGCTAATTGCTATGACGTTATGGTAAATCTGATTAGAAATAACATATTTGAATAGCACCGAACTTTTCATACGTGTTTTCAACCTTGAATGTACACCTGACAGGTATATAGAGAGGATTGATGTTATCCGTCTCTCATACTGCGTAATAGATTGTAATCTATTATTTACGCCACAAATAATAAAATAATATTAATTTTTCAGCAAAAAATGAATATACAAACAATAGATTAAAGTGATAAGACCGTCGACCGATGCCCAGAGAACAGTTTATTGGGCGGGTTTTCGAATTACCAACTGGAAAGTTTTGTCATGGGGATGAACTTTTAGATGCGGTTTTCTTCTTCTTTTCTAAAAAATGATATTCGAACGCGTTTTTTGGATCCAAATAGTTCTGAGAACGGTTTTTTACCTTTGTGAGAGAAAAAGTGCGTCTAAACACATTCTATTCCCCCAATTGAATGAAACACCTGTGTAGGCGCTCTTCAGTTTTAAGACATGTTCAAACGCGCTTAAAGGATCAAATTAAAAAATAAGAAAACTCAGGACGCACTTAATTCTTTTCAACAATAGTTGCATCTAGACTCGTCTCTGAGTCCGAGAGATACCTTGAACTCATCTAGACGCCTTTATTTTATACCGTTCGACAAACAAAGGATGGTTGCATTTGAGTTCAGAAACGTCTGAAGAAAATGTAAGGATCGTTATAGCGATCAATTAAGGTAGTTAGGATGGATTGCGGATATAGGAACGCGCCTAGATGCAATCAAAAACACTTCGTTTTGAAACACATCCTGACACGTTTCTCATCACTTTGTTTTATAGCTTTTTACTATGATTTTGTTATTGTGCTCAAGATGATAAGCATAACGAGAAATGGCCGGTGAGAAAAGGTTCAGAGAAGACAGGATACTATTTTTGTAAAAGATCTTATAAAAATAAATGAGTTTCGAATATTTTTGTCTTGAAGATGTGACGACTAGTGACTCTCCGGAAAATATGAGCAATTGATGCAGGGACTCGCTATAGTGAGTCGCGTCAAGATAATTGTTTTAAATAACTTTCAAAATCACGTAATGATCGCGTTTTTCTCTGACAATCACTATATGATATAGGTAGTAGCGCGACTCTCGTGCAAATCCTATCCACCGTTTTGCTTAGATGCCTGGTATATAACTAATATATAACTCCCACTGATTCCAAATAATTTTCAAAAACTTCTCACATCTTAGTAATTGATCATTTACTGTCATGGACAGAAAACGCGAATAAATACCGGTAAAGTATCTGAGAGTCGAGATCGATGTTTGTATGAACGCGAGAAAATCACGATCGTTAAAAATCGCGTATTATTTCGCCAATTTTACAGCGACGGCTTTACGCGATCCCCCACCACGATTTGTTAAAGAGTCTCGCGGTGCGACATAGGATAACATATTTCTGCATTTAAAAACACTTTCTTCTACACTGTAAGGTTGAAAATTATTTATGGAAAATGCTCGTTGAATTTCCATAAATAATTTCCAAGAATCTGGAAATTCCTCTTTGAATTTCCAGTTTGTTAGAAAATCCCCGTTGAATTTCTATAAATAATTTCCAAGAAAGTAGAAATTTCTTTTTGATTTTCAATAAACTGGAAATTCTTTGGCGGATCTGCATCGAGTGGCCGCGGGACCAGGTTGTATAGGGGTGAACCCCGCTCATGCTTTTGAGAAATTTCTGGTGGACGTCTCCGATTTTCGGACTGTCCGTCCTATCAAAACTTCGCGTCACCACTGTCTCTGCTTAAATCAAAACTCTTGTTGGCATAGGCAGAATTGTGATATAAAGTAGAAACTGTCAAAGTTGATTTAAGTGTAATATGAGTGTCTTTACGTGACGCTCTTATACCTACACTGATTGCAAAATAAAAAGATGAATAAGTATTTGGTCTAGAAATTCCTGGCCGAATTTCCACTTTCTAGAAAATCGCCCAGGATTTTCTAGTTTATAGAAAATCAAAATCGAATTTCCAGATTCTTGGAAATTATTTATAGAAAATCCTCAGCGATTCTCCACCTTTATAGAAAATCGAATTTATGGACAATTCGTCGAGGAATTTCTATAAACCAGAAAATCCCCGGCGATTTTCTATAAACTGGAAATTAATTCAAGGTTACAGTGTATGTGTTTTTCTCACGATAACTTTTTGAAAAAGTCGTATGTTAGTTTAAAAACAGACTTTGAGTGAGAAAAGTGGAGTGTCTGCGAGTCCAAACGTGTCTGATCGTGTTTTTCTGACGAGTTAGCAGACGTGTCTGAACATCTTGAACAAAGTTTTTCAATGGACAATAAAAAAGTACGACTCTGTGTAATGTCCTTTTCTCATATTCGATTATTTATCGATATTTGTTAACGTGTTCGACTTTTAGGTTACTTCGAATGTTTACCAAATGATGATAAAGGTATAAGATTCTATATAGTTTTAGAGGAAAAACTGAAAAGTTTTCCTCGATTTTAGCGTTATGGGGCGGCTTGGATAATGAAACAAGCATTCGTAATATTGCTGAACAAATTCAAACAAAGCAATCACAAACCTATTATGTTGCTGCACGAATGCGCGTGTTTACTATTGAAAATTCCATTGATGGTTACAATTATCGTCAGTGGTATTATATCGAACCACAGCAACTATTAATGATTGAAAAAGTTGTCTACGTCGAATATACGCCGACAGAAGCCGATAATTTAACCGAAGATGATTACACATATACTTGGGTTTGTTTTGGAAAAGTAATTCGAAATCGAAGTGAAGCAGCATTGAAATGTATCACCCAAAATCAGCTGGTAGTTTTCATTCCGTACGAAACACAGGAAAACGTTAGTTTATATCCTGTGGCCCAAATGGGTTCGGCAAATACACATAAATTACATACAATTGCTAATCTCGTCGGAAAATTTCAAATGCCATTGAAAGTGAAATCGTTTAATAACAAGGGTAAGTTGAAAGAGTTGATTAGCGTCAGAAAATCTGATCTTCAGGTTTACTTCAAACTCTTCTTTTGGCTTCAACCATGATATTTTTATCATATAACTAACGGATTCTGTTAACTCAATTATAGGAAACTATGCCTACCAGAATTTTAGTGGTTACGTTCAGCTTCTCGGGACACGAACAGATGAATTTGCCATATGCGGCTCACTCTCAACGATAAATGTTGGCATGATACCAACAAATATTCCAATGAAATTTGTTGCAGCATCATTAATTCATCCACAACTAAATCAGCAATCTATTCAGCAAAGCCTCTTACGATGTCAAATACTCAATCAATATTTAGATGTACAAATACGGCGGATTCAAATAAGTCATGGTATTGGAGAACGAATGGGACGTAATCGATCGAGATTTCCCAAAATTAAATCAGGTATTAATGAACAATTAACACGACCCAGGCGAAGTAATAGTGAAGATGAAACATCTCGACGAACAAAACCATCAGCAAACGTAGTTTCGAATGGTACTACAAAACAGAATGATATAGATGAAGGATATGGTTCACGTAGTCGTCACAGATCTGCATCAAATACGAAAAATCAAACAGCAAAACCAAGAGGTGGCAATATTCGACAAACACCTAATATTGCTGGAACGGTATGATAATATATTTGAACTGTTTTTCTCTGATACCTAACTGCAAGCGGAAATGTCATTTTACTTCTGAACTAATGATTTTTCTTGAACAATTCGATCTTGTTCTGTGTTTAGGATACCGTTTCAACTGACGACAGTACTTATGATTCACTATTCCGTATAGGAAAAGCTAAAGCCTTTGCTAAAACTATAAAACCTCGATCAAACGAACGAAACAATAGTGGCTCATCGAATCAAGATGAAAGTTTAACAACAGACAATACGTCAGATGCTTTAAATAATCTGATAGAAAACCTAGACATGGAACATGCTGATGGCGCAATTCTCATCGACACTGGAAATGAACTATTATTCACATTGAATTCGAGTAATCCTTTAACATAAATGCCAATATTCAAAATATTTTGCTAGATGACAAGAAATCTTATAAGAAAGAAATTACTTCAAGAGAAAAAAACTTGACAAAAAAGTTTTTGGCTAAAAATTAGTTGAGCATTTTAACATCACAACGTTTGTTTTTAAGTGCATCCTGTACTTTTTTATGTCATATAAAGTCCACACTGACGCATGTTTTCAAAATTTCTCGTGTATATTAGAAACACAAATAAACAAACAAGAATTATGGTAATAACTCACAGAGATTGAACGCCACCCCCCCCCCCCCTAGTCGATGTTCTTGTTAAGCAATAATACAAGATCGTGTGACATTTCTTGCGCAAGAAAAATATATGAAACTTTCTTGTAACAAGAAACATCTTTCTTGCGCTCGAAAACAAGAACACTTTTCTTAGGCGTGGGACAGTTCCCGTTCCCGTTGCTAGTAACTGGAACTGCTCACCAGTTACTGTTCCTTCAAATCACCATAATTTTACATCTCTAAGTGGATGCTTGTTGCTCTATAATTTCTTTAAACAGTTAAGGCGCTTCCCATAGTATAGGAACACTCACATTAAAGGCTGTAGAATAAAGATTTCCTATATTGTATTGTTCCTATATTGTATTTCCAATAGTGTATTGTTTCTGTGGAAAACATGGCATTATTGTCTGTGGGAACTGAGCTAGATGAGTTTACTACAGTATAAAAAACAAGATAGATGAGCATCAACTTTTCTACATCCTGATTATGAAGAAAATGGTAAGTGGTCACCAGTTCCAGTTACTGGGAACGGTAACTGGTCACCAGTTCTTTTAACCAGTTACTAGAAACAATAGGAACTGGAACTGTCCCACCCTTAACTTTTCTTTTCATTTCTTACTGTAACCAGCTGCACTGCAAGAAACAAGATCTTGCAGGAAAAAAATCAATCTTGCGTTAAAGAATGAAAGCGTTAGCGTGTGTTTCTGGGGCCTGTTTCTTAAAAAAACTTAAGTAGAAAATCTTACTTAAGTAAAACGACAAAGACTTTTTTGGACTTAAGTTTGACTTAAGTCAGATTTTCTAGTCAGATCTTCTTACAACAGAGTTTAATATTCTCACGTTGTAACAGAGTGTATCGAAATAATTCAAAAAGACATCTGCCAAAATTCTTCCTGTTATTCGTCTCTATTTAGCCATTTTAAGAACGCTGACCGGCGTTTTGAAATTTTTTCTCACATACTGTCCCAGGTGATTCAACACGGTCCGTGAACGGCCGTAAAATCGTTTTACGACGCCGTAATCCTATGTTCCGTAATACTGCCGCCGCAAACGAACGTATACGGGTCATTACGGCCGTAAACGGCCTCGTAAAAGGTTGTTTACGGCTGCAGTGTTACGGAGCATAGGATTACGGCCAAATTACGGCGTGTTACGTTACAGTGCACGGTCATAATTCGCCGTTTATGGCCATCGTAACTAATGACCTGGATTTAGATGGTTCTGGCTCTTCCGTCGTCATTCCGTCATCACCTTCTCTTACTCCTATTACAACCGATATCTCTTCAGTTCCGTCCTTAACAGATGGTGCTAACAATGACACAGTTAATTCATCTAATATGAAAGAAAAAAACTCGAATGAAAAATAATTTTTTTTGTTGTTGTTGTTTTTTGTTTATTTTTGCTTGATTAAAATAGAAAGTTTTGTATTTGCATATAAACGTTCTTTTCCGTTCGATAACGAATTACAATTTTGTTATTCATTTTAAATACACGATGATGAACTTCGACTGAGACAATTTTATTTCGTTTGCGGGTAGTTGGATCAAAAGAGCAAGAATTGCGTTTCTTGTCGATTCTTGCTGGAAGTTGATTCCCTGGAAGAAAGCAAGAATAGTCACCATAAATCAGAGAAACTTCTTGCATCAACAAAGCAAGATCTTGGGCAAGAAAACCCTCGCAAGAAAATCAACTACGGCTGTCATTCATTTTTCAGTGTCTTTATATCAAATTAACTATCTAACCTAATGTGATGAATTGGCTCTACTTTGCCTGAATTTTGGACATAAAAAAACAGACTTTTATTCATTGACGGACAGAAGTTTAGTCAGCGATAATTTTTTTGAAACTCTTACAAAAACGTCATCAAATTAAAATTAAGAACCATTTCCTTTAGTGTTGCAGGTTTTTTTTATGAAAACTTGAATGAACTTCTAGTTCATCTTTCCCATTTAGTTTACTTGTAATTTAAGAAACCACACAAATACATCTTTATACATCCCATCTCTGCATTACGCATTCACTTTGGTCTGTTTGCTCTAAAGTATTCACATAAAAACGCTTGAAAATATTCGTGGAAAACTTAGAAGTCTTTACGCAATTTTTAGAATAATTTCTTAGCTTCCATAAGATGCATATTTTGACAAAAATTTCTCCATTGATTCAATGTCATTGGCATATTTCGTTCTTGCCGTATTGCTACCAAACTTTTTTTGCAAAGTTTAATAGGAATACTTTCAACTTTTTTTGGTAAAATGTTCGGTATACCTATTCTAACATTCTCACTGTATTTCTGACGAGCTTCAAAAATCTGTAAAACTTCGTTGGAATCTTAATTTTAGCTCATTTTCGTACCCTTTGTTCGTGGTTCAACAAGTTTGATGCTGAATGAGGGTATCAAAATAATATCGAAACTAATTGTAAACTATATCAGGTAAAAGAGGAGACGTTTCTCTATCAGATGCATATGTTTTGATCAAGATTCATCGAAGTCTTCATGGGTATTTCGAATAATTCTTAAACGCCTCACCAATGTAGACTTCAGTATTTTTCAAGTTCACCCTAGTATAACTCTACCATTTCTCAATGGATTTTGATTAAGTTTTTTCCACCCGATAAATAAAACATTTCCAGATCCAATCGTCGGTTTATAAGTTCAAATTTCATTTGTTTATAACAAAAATTCTTTAGTTTCTTAATGACCATGTGAATTTTTCCTGGATCTTCTGTTCTTTCTTTTTCTTTTTTCTCTCTCTCTCTTCCTTTTCTTCACTCACACAATGGATGATGCCCTGTGCGGTTCGATGATGCGCATATATAAATATAGAAGTGAGAGAACGTCCATTCATAACAAAAATCTTGTCGTGTGAGGTAAGTGTAGAAGAAGCAAATAGTGTGTTTGATCAATATTCATCTTTTCAATTTTCAATTTAGGCTCTTTCAACATCTTCTGTTTCTTAAACAAACTAACTTTCATTACAAAAACCAATAGTTCTCATTAGGTATGAAAATTCAGTATGAACTGCAGTGCGAAGTATCTGACATTTTATCTCTTGTTTAGAACTGTTCCATCGTTATATTACAAAACAATAATCAATAATTATGACAGAATCAACATCAGCTCCAGTTCAAGCTCAAGGTCAACCATCGACGCCACAAAAACAAGCTTCATCAGCCGCCGGTAGTAAAAAGAAAGCAGCAGGTGTTAAAAAATCAGCATCATCGCATCAATCGAATCATCCAAAATATGCTGATATGATAAAAGCAGCAATTGTACAATTAAACGATCGTGGTTAGTATAAAAAGCCTTTTCATTTGTCATTCTCTACGTATTCTACGTATTTAATTAATTAATAGGAGGTTCATCACGTGCAGCAATACTCAAATATATTTTGGCTAATTACAAAGTTGAACCACAGTCAGCTAATCAACATTTGAAAGTTGCGTTAAAAAACGGATTGAAAACAAATTATTTTCGACAAACAAAAGGTAAGTTCATTACACAAGTCTTAAATTTACGGTCATTCTTATCTCGGTCTGTTTAGGTACTGGTGCGAGTGGATCGTTCAAACTGGGTACTGCTACTTCAAGTGGTAAAAAGGTTATCAAAAAGAAATCGGTTAAAAGTACAACTGGAAGTCCGAAAAAAACTGCTGTAGCAAAAAAGAAATCAACATCATCGACAAGCGCCGCAAAACCAAAAAAAGCCTCAGGAACCAGCAAACGATCGACGTCACCATCGAAACCAAAAGCTCCACGTGAAGGTATAATGAAATGTTTTCATAACCAAAGAATGTTGTTCACTGTTTGTCTTTCATTTTGTTCGAGAATGGAATATTATTTCAGATATATTTAATCCTGAGTTGCCAATAAGAGAAGAATAGTAGAAAACGGGTAGAACTTACTGAAACTTACTTCCGTAGGGAAAATTGTGGGCACTTGGGCATCTACTCACTACCTACTGTATTAGCATTTAGGATTCTTTTATTATGCTGGGTCTAGTAAGAAAACAAACTAAGTTTATTGATGAGTCGTACTGACATCGATAAGCTGATGTTGCTGAATCTGTTTTAATAGACGCGCTAAAAAAAAAGTGCTAAAAGATTTTTATTTTCCTTTGTTTTTAGCCAAACCAAAAACAAAAGCTTCGACAAAATCGACTTCAGCATCAACGAAAAAGAGTGCAACAGCAAGTGGTCCAAAACCAGCAGCAGTTAAGAAAGCCACTTCACCGTCGAAAGGCAAGAAAATAGTTCTTAGAGCAGTAAACAAAGGCTGAATTAGGAAGTGTAGAAATCTGAGACTGCACTGTTTCTTAAAAAGATATTTAAAGGGGAAAATGCTAGCAGTATATTTCCAGCATTTAATGTTGAGATGTAGTGTGCGCTGAGTATCCCTTGTTAGGTCTATTGAAATCTAATCGTGTGTTTTCTAACTATTATTTCTTTTCTAGCTGCTAAGCCAAAATCAGCAACATCGAAACAAAGTGGTGGTGCGAAAAAACCCGCTTCAGCTGCTAAAAAGCCCAAAGTAGGAGGTACCAAATCAGCATCGTCGAAAAAAGTACCATCGAAAAAAGCAGTGCCAAAGAAAACAGCATAATGGAATAATACCGCATAAAAGAAACGTTGAACTTTTTCTTTAGTAGTTTGTAGTGTCATTTTTTTCACCACTATGTGGTGGTATCGATTTATAAAGCACTCATATTTACGTGCTGATTGTTTTTCGTGTCAGATAAATAAAAAAATATTTGCTGTGTAACTTTGTCAAAAATTAAACCGTATTTTACTACATACGCTCTTTTTTTTGTTTTCATGTAAATATACAAACAAAGTGACAGAATACGTATTGAAAAATCAATAAAAACAGCAACTGGAATAATTAGTGGTTGGTAGACAAATCATGAAGTTTCTATCGCAATTCCGAGACATTCGCCATTTTTTTTTGGTCACGAATATAACAAGGAGGGAAAAAGTAGGACGTAGTGCCGATTAGGGTGTCATAAGGTACTGCCTTGAAAAACACGGTAATGGGGTCGAATCCCACAGTGCACTGCATCTAAACTTCGAAAAGGAAATTTGGTTGTATTTTTATCATACTGCTAAGAAAACAATAATACTTTATTTTTGACTGAAACGGAAGAAAAAACAATTAAAAAGACATTCGTGGTCGCATTCGATTCCTTTACCCATCCGCTATCTTGAATTTTTACGAAGCAAAAACGTTACTGAATCAGTAGTTTGGGGTGCTGAACTAAGAAATGTGTTTGGCGGCCTGAGGTACGAAATCATAGACTGCCTATAATCGTTACGTCAGTGATGTAACGTCACATGGCAGACAGCTTTACATCTATCATTTGCAACCTACCTATTTTCGTCGTTTTTTTTGTAAAATTTTTTCTCACTCGACAATCATATTTGAGATTGCAAACTTAGCAATTTTTTGACAAAACTTTTGTATCGTACATTTGACGAGTGAAGCACGGTTCGTACTAAAATACCATGGGTAGCATAATATTGCTTTGATTCTTGAAGTAACAAATGTTAGTCTATCTTAATAATTTCTTATGAACTGCTTCCTATTGGAAAAGGATTGAGTTTAACGTTTCTTACTCTTTTTGATCTATAATCTGACAGTTATATTAGCTGATGAAATTACCACTTTCAATTAACAGGTAGGGCTGTGACAGTTACCATTAGCGTTACAGTAACTGTAACTGCTGAACAGTTGATGTTCTTGGTAACGGTAATGGGTAAGCAGTTACCGTACAAGTAACGATAACGACCAGTTACAAGTAACGGTAACTGTTCAGTATATCTTTCAAGAGTCAAATCTCTAAATATCTAGGTATCCAGGGTGAGGGTGAGGCTACGAACTTTCATCCTCACCCTGGATACCTAGATATTTAGAGATTTGACTCTTGAAAGATATACTGAACAGTTACCGTTACTTGTAACTGGTCGTTATCGTTACTTGTACGATAACTGCTTACCCGTTACCGTTACCAAGAACGTCAACTGTTCAGCAGTTACAGTTACCGAGTAACGGTGGTAACAGTAACCGGTAACTGTCACAGTCCTATTAACAGGCAGTTGAAAATGAAATAGATTGTCCTTTTTAATACAAGAAAAAAAGCGCACTGACGAGATTTTGTCTCTCAAGATGTGGGTTATAAAGTGTTTCACATCATTTTAATTGTTTTTGTATTTTAACCATTCTATAAGAATGCGTAATCCGTTTCTGATGGCGTCAGCTTTTTCACTCATTTTTTTTCTATACACAATCTTCCTGTGAAAAACAGTGAGATTAATTTTAATAATGTATTCTATTTTTAAATGATATTGCGTTTTATTACTACTACATTTTTCATAGTAATAATGGATGGCCTATAATAATATTTTTTTCTTTTAACAGATAGCGAAAACTTTTCTTTAACCAATTCCATTCTATAAAACTGCATATTTGATTCGAAAATTGAATTTTAATTTATGGTGTGGCAGTTGGAACATAGCAGAATCGTACACGTTTTCTATCCTGCTCCATTCCGTATTAAAATTTCTCGCAAAAGATCAAGAGTCATTTGTTTTAACTTTTTTAAACGTATTTTGGTCATCAAAACATGTGCAATTTAAAGCTGTATCACAAGAAAATTCATTTTCTCATCTTCATTATAAATGTCTTAATTTAAGTACGAATGTATCTAACTTACTTTAAGATGTTATAGGCCGGAAAATCATTCACCAAATTTGTCTAATATTCCAGTAATTGTAAATAAATAAGAAAAAAAGAAAACAAAAGTATACTTACAAATCTATCTTGATTTCTTTGTCAAAAGTCTACGAACACAATATATATACGAGCGGCATTCAGGTACTATCATGATCCCATGTAATAGGGCTAGTCTTTGAAATAAGATTGAAAAATTGTCCGACAAAAAATTAGACGAAATGAAGTCGGCTAACTTTCAACCAATTTAAGTCATCTTATTCCAGGATGAATTTTTTTGTAATGTACAATATGTTAATTGCTAATTAATTTTTTGCTTCTGATATTGCAATATCAAAGATGAATGAGTAATAAATAGCTAAACAATAATGACAGTAGCATTAGTATTTTTCTTTGAAACAACAAACACGAGTATCATATCAAAACACGAAGAATTTCATGTGCACAACACTAAATTAATCTGTAATTGAACTACAGCTTCACTTATCCAGACAAATCAAAATAAGGATAAGTCGTGAAGCTTAAAAAAGTAATTTTTACCAGGCACTGTTTCATCGATCAATTTTTTTTTGGTATAAGGCTTTCATGTACATGTGTATTTTGTTCTGCTTAATACTTTTAAAATGGAATGCGATTGGAATCTATTTATCTGATGTAGTTTTTAAATGAGTTTTTGTCTTTCCATTCGGATATCAGTGATTCTAGTTCAATTATAGAGCCATAAATGTATATTTTTGTAGAGAATTGAATTTTCTATCTAATGGTATGAAAACGATTTTTTTTTCGTTCTATTAGGAGAGAAAAAACTGAAAACAACAGTGATAAGCAGTTATTTATAGAGCACTTATTGATTTTCCTTTCATTTTTTCATATTTTCGTTATATTTTATTCTATCAGAGAAGTTACTAAACTGATTTTTGTCAACCTGAATCTGACTTTAATTTAAATATGAATTTTGGATATGAAAAAATTGTACAATATTGCTTTTTATCTAATCAAAAATTCAGCTCACATAAATCGTGTTTCCTCTAAAAAAATAAATTAATATTTCAGCATTAATAACGGTGTATCTAGCATCACTGTAAAGAATGAAAAACGACGATTGATAGAGACAATGTAGGATAAGATGTAAAACATTTACTTGTCATAACAGCTAGTAGGCAATAAAGTATGAGTTATATCCAGAAAGACATGAATTCTAAAAACAACTAAAAGCCCAGATACAAGCCGAGAGATAGATATATCTTACTTCCAACTCAGTAAGTATAACATGACAACGCTTTATTCATGATAAGTAAGCAAAAGAAGATAGTACACTTATAAAAAGGTTCAATAGTCATCTGCAGTTCAATTGTTAGTTAGTCCATTCAAAACGCAGCTTTGCTTACACCGTCAAGTGAAGCGTGATAGCGTTGGTGCAATGCACAATTGAATGCAAGAAGATGAAAGGAAGAATACCCCATCCATCTAGCGGCTGCCGTTTCTGATATAGAGTGCTGCCAAATGGCAGTTTCAATTGGCGTAGCCACCGGGTGGGCTGGAGGTTCAGCCCATTCACTGTCATCAATTACAGCTTTGGACAGGAGGCTAGCCTGACGCAGAGTTCTTTCGCCCAATTACTTAAGCCCGTGCTTAAGCCACGAGCTAGCTTTCTGTAAGGCTACGTAAACTAGCTAGAGAAGCTGTATTGTTCGTCACAACGTAGTGAGTATGCTGTTGGATGGATGATCCGAGACACTATGTCATAAGTAACTTGTCCAAGATTATCACATGATCTGATGGCACTGAACACAGTACATTTACAGTACGTGACAAACAACATAGTCACTAAGCCGTCCCGTCTCACGAATGAATGACTGTTAGTGTACTGAGTTGTTGATGGAATTCTTAGCCATAATACTCAATACAATTTTTTTTAATGATTTTCTTTGTTTGTGTGAACGCATGTCACTTAGAGATTTATATTGGAAAATCAAAAAAACGTTCACTACACGCCCGATCAATCTAAGAAATATGTTTGTTACTTTTGTGTGTGTGTGTTTTTTCTAATCTAATAATTATGATGTTATAAAAATATGGATGATATATGTATGTGCAGACAATATTTTTCCTCTTTTTTTCATTTAATAATAATAATATCTAAACTCAAAGGGGTACATCGTGAATGGTTCGCAAATATGTTTTCCAATGCAAAAACTTTTCTTTTTTTTCTCCTCTGTATGCGATACTAGAAACAGAATCTTTTTTTTGTCTGCTTTCTTTTATCTCGTTTAGATATGTGTACTTTAATTGATCAGAGTAGATATATATGTGGTGATCGTTTTGTCATCAATGTTGTTTTTATATTGAGTAAAGAAGTATATGGACAGCAAAACATAACAAGTTTTTTTGTTCTTAGTCATATTGAACTTATCAACTATAAAAATTATACAAGTGTCATTCAAGTAAACCAAATTTTTATCGTTTTTTTTTTTATACGTTACTATAGCTAATTATCAGCAGACACTTAAAGTGTACTTTACAATCATCATGAGTTGATTATAAGTAAGAGAAAATTTATTTGAAACAAAAAGATTAGACAGAATTTCGCTTCGAGCTGATATAGCTCATCTATCATAGCAAAGTTGAGTTGTTTGACAAAGTTGATTTGACATTATTCAATCGTACTGGTAGGTCACTTCTTCTGGTATAGTAAAATGCTAAAAAAAAAGTATCATAAATGTCGAAAAAAATTGTATACTATACTTTTTTACTAGCAGGTAGTCAATTTCTGAAAAAGATTTGATAAAGGTTTTTCGACTTCTGGAAGATCTTTTTGGAATACATTTTTTAAATTTTGGGTTTTGTGCGAGTGAAAATTAACATAGTTCTTGACA